GTAAGTGTATATAGGGTCTGGGTTGGGCAATTGGGCGGGGGTTGGGTTAAATTTAGGCTACAATCGAAATGTAAATCTAGCTATAATTTAAATAGCCAATTTTTTCTATTTAATATATAATAAGTAATAAACAATTTCTGAAAAATAATTTATGTATCAAAATGATTTAAAATATATATATTTATCATTATAAAAATATAGGGACCAATATTACGCATATAAAATGTAATTATCTATTAAATGGGCTAACATTGCAATTATATGCAATTTTGCTTAAAAATACCAAATGCAATTATAAAATGCATAAAAAATATATTAACCATATTTTGGCATATTTATAGAGATTAAATGAATAAATCATCATAACAATAATTTGAGAAATAAATATTGGGGATTTTATGAATAAAAGGGAAGGAAATAAATCAATTTAAATCATTAAAATTATGGAAAAAACTATAAAAACCTTGTGCATGCGTATATATGCATATATATGCTATTTCAAAGGTATTTATGCATATAAAAACATATAGGGAAAAATTGGGTATCAACAGCGTGTTCGGAGTGTGTTTTGGAGGTCCGTAGCTAATTTAGGCTTGAAATGCCGAAAGTCAAATTTTGAAGTTTCTGGTTCGATAGTGAGATTTTGATCCGAGGGTCGGAAAGGAATTCCGGAAGTTGGAGTAGGTCTGTAGTATTGAATAAGACGTGTGTGCAAAATTTCAGGTCATTCAGACGAGGTTTGATAGACTTTTTGATCGAAAGCGTATTTTTAGAGTTTTGGAGTTCTTAGGCTTGAATCCGCGGTTGATTCGTCGTTTCGATGTTGTTTTAGGTATTTTAAGGATTGCTATAAGTTTGGACAGTGGTATTAGACTTGTTGGTGCCTTTGGTCGAAGTCCCGGGGGCCTCGGAATGGTTTCGGAAGTTTGTCGAAATAATTTGGAATTTGTTTGAGCAGCTTCAGTTGCTGGTCTTCTGTCATAACCGCACCTGCGGTTGGGTCCCGCAGGTGCGTAGCCCTAGAAGCGGGCAATTTACCGTAGAATTGGTACCACATCTGCGTATGGGGAGTCATAAGTGCGGAAGGTTAAGTTTAAGTGAAATGTCGCAGAAGCGACCATGTCCTTGCAGAAGCGGGACCACAGGTGCGATCCCATGACCACAGAAGCTGATTAGCTGGGCCAAAACATATAAATTCTTGCCTTCACGAATTTGAGCTATTTTCACCTCTTTCCAAACGGGAAGAAGCCTTGGAGAACATTTTCAGGAGATATTTTCAGAGGAATTTGTTGGGGTAAGGTCTTTGGTCCCTAAACTAGTTATTGGGGTAATTTTTACCATTATAAACATGAAAATTTAAGGAAAATCAGTGGTAATTTGGGGGTTAGGGCTTGACTAATTATAGACCTTTGAGTGAAGATTTGAGGGACTATTTGAGGTCCGATTTTGGTATTTTTGGTATGACTGAACTCGTGAGAGTGTGAAGATTCTGGAAATGAAAATTTTACCTGATTCCCAGACGTGCGCCCGTGGGACGTTTTGGTTATTTTACCTAATTTCAAGTATTAGCTTAGAATTTCTTTATAGAATCAGTTACTTGAAGTGTTATTTACATTATGAATTTGAATTGAATAGACTTGGGCCATTTGGAGTCGAGTACTCGTGGCAAGAGCGTGGTTTCAGATTGATTTGAGCTGGTTCGAGCTAAGTGGCTTACCTAACCTTGTGTGGGGGACCTTCCCCTTAGGATTTGGTATATTTTGTAATTGTAATGGCTTGTACGTTAGGTGACGAGTGTGTACTTGAGCTAATTGTTGAAAATCCGATTTTCTTTAAGTAATTTCAATGGTGTTCCTTTTTCCTGCTTTATACTACTTGCAATTTAAGCCTTAATTGTTAGCTTAGAAAAAGCATGTTTATTTAACTTAATTACTTATTCGCTTAAAATGCCGTAATTGTATTATGTGAAGCATGTTAGGTTAGAATTACCAGTTTACTTGGTACGAAATTGAGATTAATTGAGTATTCTTTGTGTTGCTGCTTTGTGTTATCATTTTGGGACTACAGGACGGCATCCCAGGAGATCCCCTACATGTATTTATGATTGAGATGAGGTGCGGGATACCGAGAGATCCCTAGCATATATATTGAGGATACCAAGAGATCCTCGGGATACCGAGAGATGCCTAGCACGTATATAGAGGATACCAAGAGATCCTCGGGATACCAAGAGATCCCTGACATATATTGAGGATACTGAGAGATCCTCGGGATACCAAGAGATCCCTAGCATATATTGAGGGTACTAATAGATCCTCGGGATACTGAGAGATCCCCGATTATTATCCTTGTGAAGAATGGTATCTCCTTGTGATTGTTTTTGCCTCTGTTTCAATTATTGAGTTCCTTATATTCCTGTATTAAATTCTTATTGTTAGCTTTCAATTGTACTATTTAGCTTACTCTGTCATACCTTATATGTTTATTTATCTCAGTAGGGTCCTTACCTTCCCCGTCACTACCCGATCGAGTTTAGGCTTAACACTTACTAAGTACCGCTGTGGTGTACTCATGCCTTTTCTGCGCATGTTTTTTATGTGCAGATTCAAGAACTTCGACTTAGTCCTATCACACTTGAGGCGAGGCAACTGCTCCAGAGACGTCGAGGTATATCTGCCGTGTCCACAGACCGAGGAGTCCCTTTCCATTCTATCTTGTTGTGATAGCCCTTCTATCTTTTCTGTTGATGTAGACATTCCGGAGTTAGAGCATTTTTATTATATTTGTAGCTTGTGATTCATGGGTTTCTGGGTTTTGGGAAAATGTATTAGTTTTTGAGAGTTAATATTGTGTATACCGAGCGGCACTTTTAAACACTGTTTTATTACACTATTTCTGTTTTAAATTATTTTTCTTCCGCAAATTGGTTTATCTTTCGCATTTTTGGCTTACATAGTCGTAGAAACTAGGTGTCATCATGATGGTTTACGGAAGGCGAACCGGGGTCGTGACAATTTGTGCATCTTTGACCAAGTCCAACTTCTCTCCACCGTGAAGAAATTGCCCTATGAAGAAACTGCCGCATTAATTATCTCCAACAGTTACTAAATATTCCAACCTACTATCTGATTAGGCTTTACAGTTTTCTAGTTATTTTAAACAATATGTATTCTATAAATATTTGGTCAAGATTAGTTTTAAGGTATTGAATGTTTGTCTAAATATTAGTATCTGAGAGTTTTGTCCACTCCATACAGACAAATTTGTTGGTTGTAAATTGTGTTTAAGATTCTTGCACAATCTACTGCCAATAGTAATTTCCTTCTCTTCTCAATTTCAGTCTTTTGAGCATGTGGGTAACGATATGGTCTAATGTTTGGTGGTTTAGAATTTGGTAATAGGGAAATAGCATAGGAATGTACCCTAAATGGTGGAAGAGATGTTGGCTCATTGAACACAGATTGGAATTCTTGTAAAAACATCTTAATCAGGTTACCTAGCGTCTCTAAAATTTTGTTATAAACTTGAAGTGAATCTGTTGCTGAGTTAGCTGACCTAACTCCTTGCAACTTGTAACGTTTCCGTTGCCAGTTGAAAATGACGAACATGTCCTTCCAATTGGCTTGAATAGTGTTGACAGAAGCTAACCATTTGATACCAAAGACCAAATCAGCACCCCCGATGGAGAAAGGATAGTAATCTTGCGTAGTGGTTAAGCCCGACAACTGAAAAGTCACATCTTTGCAAATTTTGTTGCAATGAATTATGTCGCCATTTCAATCGGGACACCGAATGTTGGAACAATGTCTATTTGAATTATAAGTTCCTCCACAACTGATTCAGCCACAAAATTATGTGTTGACCCGCTATCCAGAAGGATCAAAATCTGTCGCTGGTTGATTGAACCTTGAAGTTTTATTGCAGCACTAACTGAATGCCCCAAAATTGCATGAAAAGAGATTTCAGTGAGATCAGCTTCCGGTGTTTCATCAACTTCAGCATTAGCCATCTCATCGCCAATTATTTGTTCCTCAGCAGCAATTTCCATTAGAGATAAATTCGGAAATTTGCATCTGTGGCATGGCGAGAATTTTTCATTACAGCGGTAACACAGTCCATTAACTATCTGGATTTTCCGTTCAGCATCCCATACTCGAGCTTGTTAGGGTTGGGTTGTTGTTTGGTTAGATGGTAAAGGGTTTCTGGTATAGTGATTTACAGGGAAAGAAGAAGCGCTGAATGGGACATTTTTGACGAAGGAAGATGAGGTTTGTGAGTTGGATCTATTAGTTGTGGTCCAATTAGGTCCTCTGGTGCTGCGATTTGGGCCTGATTTTTTCTCAAATTCAAGAACCAAACTCATAGCTCTATACATTATTCAAGGTTTGTGAATTCTTACATCAGATTTGAGTTCCCCCTTTAATCCATTTAAAAACACACCTAAGAGATAGTGATCTGGCGAGTTTGTGACTCTTGACGATCACTTAGCAAATTCCTGCCGATATTCTTGAACAAATCCTATTTGCCTTATGTTACAAAGATACTCATCAAGATTTTGAAATTCAGTCGATCCAAAATTTTCTTGCAATGCTTTAACTAGTTCCTCCGAGAAAAGCAAGGTGCGCTCACGATTGATCCAAGAGAACAAGTCAAGAGCATCTCCTTATAGATATATAGCCACAATGTCGACATTGAGATCATCAGACGTCTGATAATAGCGAAAGTATTTTTATGCCTTCAAAATCCATCCTCTACGATCTCCTCCTTCAAATTCGGGAAACTCCATTTTTGTGTGAGGCCTCCGGGAAGTGGTTTTGGGTCCCCATGGACTGTCAACATCTTCTTCCTCTTCTAACCAACCAGATTTTCCTTCGTTACGCTTTTGATGATTAGTTTCTGCTTGTTGGGTGTGGCCACTTTGGGCTTTCAGCGCTGCAACTTCGGCTACCAACGTATCTACCGTGTTTAATTTTGATGCTATAGCCATTAATTGGTGTGTAATGGAATCTGCGTTAGGTGGGTTATCTTGGATGCTAGAAGACCTGGTATTAATCATTTCGGATCTTTCTGCTCTGATGCCAAAATTTTAGTTCCTGAAAATTTATGACAGAGAAATTGAGAAGAGAATGAAATTAATATTGGCAATAGATTGTGCAAGAATCTTAAACACAATTTACAACCAACAAATTTGTCAGTATGGAGTGGACAAAACTCCTAGATACTAATATTTAGACAAACATTCAATGCCTTAAAACTAATCATGACTAGATATTTATAGAATACATATTGTTTAAAATAACTAGAAAACTGTAAAGACTAATCAGATAGTAGGTTGCAATATTTAGTAACTGCTGGAGATAATGCAACATAGGAAGCTGGATACTACCAGCAACATAGATGGCATTTTCAATGGCAACAATTGCCAAGGTGGTATAGGTGGAGTAGCAAGAAACAACACTGGCATAAACCACCAAAAGGTTGGTACAAATTCAACATAGATGGCGCTTTCAATGGCAACAATTGCCAAGGTGGTATAGGTGGAGTAGCAAGAAACAACACAGAAAGCTGGATACTAGGGTTTCACATGAAAGTTCCGACCATATCAGCAACACAAGTGGAGCTCCAAGCCTTGAGAGGATGTCTGCAAATCATAATGCAACACAACTTAATGCCAGTGAAAATAGAGACAGATGCATCAGAGATTATCCATATGTTAGACAATGATCACCCTACTTATACAAAACTAATCTATGAATGCAGGTGGTTGATGAAGCAAACAAAGAGGAAGGGTCAGGTGGTACTCAGGCATAGCTTCAGACACGGGAACGAGGTGGCGCATGACTTGGCAAAAATGGCACTAATGCAGCCCAACATTAATAAAATGTCCCTTCTGGCAACTCCACCGGAACCAGCAATACAACAGTATCAATAGGATCTGGAGGATTTTTCTTCTGTTAAATATGTTTGTGCTAGTGTTTGTTTGAAGTTGGCTGCTGGAAAACTTAGATGCCTTGCAAGGCACTGCTAATATCGTGTAATATGTTGAATGTTTAGTTATTAATATAATATTCTTTTCGTTCAAAAAAAAAACTGCTGGAGATAATTAATGAGGCAGTTTCTTCCTAGGGCAGTTTCTTCATGGTGGAGAGAAGTTGGACTTGGTCAAAGCTGCAAAAATCTTATTTCCTCGTTCATATTTTCTTCTAAAATAAGTCTTCAAATGTGGGATTGTATCACTAAGATTCAGTTCTTATTTAGATGTTGCCTCACATCGCAAAGTCCAAATTTTTGCTGAGAAGGCTATGGATATTTGGTGGCACATAGCGAAAATGTATCGTTTTGCAAGTGTTTTAAATACCCAAAATAGACTTTAGAAGCTTAAGCTTCTTCAAACGCTCTTATCAATTAGGATTAAGTTGGAATTGAGTTGATTCTAATATAAACCGTTAACCATATATTGGAGACATTTGAAGGGTTTAATTTCCTTTATTCTGACCTTATTGTCTAGCAACTTATCTTTCCTTTTTATTTTTCACTGTAAGTTTTTGGTCAAAGAGTAATTATTTTGTTTGAAATATAAAACAAATTTAGTAGAAAAAATGTAGTCATCTTTTTTTTTCTTTTTTGATAAACAACTTTTCTATTTCATTCCATCAAAAGAATATACATTACATTCAGTAGATGCTGACCATCTACTCATCCTTTGTTATAAAATCTAGTCCGAGGTTCCTTCTTAAGCTAGGACTATACATGACAATCCAATACTCTAATGCTATTACACAAGAAACCAGTAAAAGACTCTAGCATACTAAGGGTAGCAGTTTAACTTCTGCAGAGCTTCTTTCCAGTTTTGTATTGAGACCCCCTTCAGGTGTATGTGGATAGCTATTTCTTTGCAGATGTTGTTGATTATCAGTTTACCTCCTTGGAATCTCAGCTTATTTCTTTCTCTCCATATAGCATTCACCAACATGCCAAATACACAGGTAACTATTGCACATTGTCCATTTCTCCTTTTAGCATTCTTGCTTACCCATTCGACTTCACTCTGCCTGTCACAAATAACTCTATCATATCCCAACCGTCTTAGCAACCCTAACCATAGTTCCTTTGTCAGCGAGCATTCAAAGAAAAGATGGTCAAAAGTCTCAACAGCTTGCTCGCAAAAAATACACTGCTGTGGAATTTGTATACCAAACTTCAGTAGCCTCTCTGTTGTTGCCAATCTATTATTTAATGCAAGCCACAATATTAATTTGAATCTGCTACAAGATAATGCTCTTCCACTAGACCTTTTGATGTTGAGGAAATTGAAGCTTGTACTATTTTTTAATGCTGAACAATTCACCCCTCTGTAGTTGGTGCAATCTGCTTTCCAGATCCCCTTGAATTCCTTGAAGCTCATTTATCATCCTTCTTGCCTCAATAATTTTTCTAACTACCCAGGCTGCATTCCTAGGTATAGGCATATCTTCAATCGTATAGTTCTTTATGTAGTAAATGTGCATCCATTTTATCCATAGACTATCCTTCTTCTTTGCCACTGCCCATAGATGCTTTGCAATAGCAGCTTTATTCCAGTATAGCATGTTTATTACATTAAGCCCCCCTGCACTACGTGGCAAACATATTGTTTCCCAAGAAATCAAAGCTCTCCTTGACACAGTAGCTGAACCAGTCCACAAAAATGATCTGCAGATTGCCTCAATCATATTCATCATTTTCTTTGGTAATAAAAATCTTTGTGTCCAATACGATTGCACACCAAATAAAACTGATCTTATCAATTGAAGTCGCCCTGCATATGATAATAATCTCGATGTCCAGCAATTTATCTTCTGAGTTACCTTCTCTACTAGTTGCCAGCACTGCGCAATGGATAGCTTTTTGGAATCCAATGGTACCCTAAGGTACTTGAAAGGTAGAATGCCTTCAGGGAACCCCAGCTCTTGTAAAATTTCCTCTTTTTTTTTCCAAATTGAAACTCCAGCTATATAGACAGAACTCTTGTTAGCATTTGCTTGAAGACCTGATACCATAGAGAATGTATGAAAAGCCTGTTTTAATAGCCTAACAGATTGTATATCAGCCTTGCAGAACATTAGCAAGTCATCCGCAAAACAGACATGTACCACACCCAATTTCTTGCACCTAGGATGGAATTTGAAGTCTTTCATCTTTGTCAATTACATGAACTCCCTTTGCAAATATTCCATGGCCAGAACAAAGAAATAGGGAGACATTGGGTCTCCTTGCCTTATACCTCTATTGCCTTTGAAAGGTTCTGTGAGTCCACCATTTATGTTTAGAGAATATGTAACTGATGAAATGCATTCTAGTACCCATCTTGTGAATTTGTAAGGAAACCCCATGTCAGTAACCAATCTTTCTAAAAAATATCATTCTACTGTATCGCAAGCTTTCCTCAAATCCAATTTAAGAACATATCTTGGGTAGATACCCTTTCTATTATATCCTTTGAACAATTCATGTGTGAACAAAATGTTGTCTGTAATACTTCTACCTTCTATAAATGCTGACTGTAATCTCCCAATTAGACCTCCAATGACTGGTTTTAGTCTTGCTGTGAGGACCTTTGTGATTATCTTATGCAGTGTTGTACAACATGCTATGGGCCTATAGTCTTTAACTTGACTAGGATTTTGCACTTTAGAAATAAGTGTTACAACAGTACTGCTCACTCCTTTATGCAGCCTCCCAGTCACAAAAAAACTCTTCACAGCCTCATATATGTCATCACCTACTACTTGCCAATGTCTTGTGAAAAATTCAATTGGAATCCCATCCACTCCTGGTGCCTTATCATGGGGAATATCTTTTATTGCCTAAAGTATTTCATCTCTTGTAACTACTTTGATTAGGTCCTCCTTCTGCTGCATATTAAGACAAGGTCATTGACGTATGATCTCAGAGTTTGGACATTCACATGTAGTATTATTCTCTCCTAGTAGCTTCCTGAAAAACTTGACAAACTCTTCTTTCACCAGTATAAGATCAGATACCTTGCCTCCCAAGTTAGTGTAGATAGAGTTTATAGTATTTGTGTTTGTCTTCAACTTTAACTGTGCATGGAAATACTTAGAATTTGAGTCTCCATAAGCTATCCAATGTGCTCTAGATTTTTGATGTAGAATATGTTCCTCTATGCTGCTCCATTTCTCTACTTCCATCAAAACCATTTTTTCTTGATCAATCAACATTTGATCCATATGTTTGTGCTTTAGTTCACTCTGAATGGCTTCAAGTTTCTGCCTGGCCTTATTGAGCTGAAGCCTATACGAAGCCATATAAGTGTTCAATTCCTTCAATTCAGTTTTCAAATCTTTAAGCTTATTCAATACCCTGTGCATGTTGCCTCCATTTACCTCTTGATTCCATACCTTTTCCACTATGCCTGCAAAGTCACCATGATCCATCACAGAGCTATACAATTTAAAAGGTTTAGGATGCAAGTTCCTTTTTTTGATCCACAACCTTGCATTGTAGTAGAATAGGGGAGTGGTCTGACACCTCAGGATTTAGAAAATCTGCTTCAATATGACTGTACTTCTGCATCCACTCAACATTCCCCAGTGCCCAGTCAATTCTACTGTATACCCGCTTTTCCAGTTGTTGTTTGTTGCACCAAGTATAAAACCATCCCAAACTCTTCAATTGTGTGAGTTGCAGGGTAATAATTGCATCCTGGAACCCCTTGATCTCACTTTGTGTAACTGGAGCCCCTATCCTATCATCAGTGTGGAGAACATTATTGAAGTCTCCACTAAGTAGCCAACTCTCCTTAATAGTTGCTCCTAAATTTACAAGTTTATCCCATAGCTGCTGCCTTTTGTTTACCTCGTTACTTGCATACATCACAGTTATCAAAGTCTTGAAAGTGGAACTTCTTTCTTGGACTTCACAATGTATAACTGTTCATCAAGCAACAGTATCTGCACCTCAACATTTTGTTTCCACAATAGCCAAATCCTTCCATTTGGATGTTCCTTGTAGTTACAACAAAATTTCCAATCACTGCATATTTTATTCATTATCCTGTTAGCCTTCATTTCCTTTACTCTTGTTTCTAAACAGCCTATAAACTCTACCTTATGTTTCCTCAGAAAGATTTTGCTTATGGGCCTTGCTCAGACCCCTTATATTCCAGGTGCATAGGATCATTTTTGGGTGAAGCTGGATGGGCCAGCGTCCCCTGGATCATCTTCTATCTGCAGCAATGAGAACCTGTTTGTGGACTGCATCATAACTACTGCACTTTGCTGTACACTTTTCCCCTTCATTTTTCCATTATTAGTAAGCTTATCATCTCCTTTGTCATTTGTTTGTTGAATGTCCCCTTCATTTCTAGTATGTTGAATCACATCATCCTTCCTCTTATCTTTTGGCATCCATTTCAAGGTCCCTCTATGTTGTTGCTTCTTTTTCCCAGCATCCCTTTGTTGGACTTTTATTTCCACTGCATTTTCCTGCACTTCCTTGAGCCAACATTCGTTTGAAGTATGCCCAAATCTAATGCAGTCACAAAAATACTTTGGCTTCCATTCATATTCAAGTTGCTGAATTATTACTCCCCTCTTAGTTTGCATTTCAAAACTATCTGGTAGTTGTTGGGATATGTCAGTTTCCACCAAAACTCTTGCATAGGACACCTTTTCCATTTCAGTAGTGATCTTATCAGTGTACAAAGGCTTCCCAATAACACTAGTTAGTTTACTGAGTGCTTCGGTAGACCAAAAACTCAATGGTAGACCTGGAAATGTGATCCACAAGGGAATCACACTCACACTTCCTGTATCAAATTTGAAATCCATTCTCCATTGTTGCAGCACAAAAGGCTTGTTTGTGATATGTATAAGGTTCTGCTTGGAGTACTAGGTCCCTATCTTCAGTATTTTCAAACCTGAAAATATA